ATCGCTGAGTCTGGTACATGTCCTCTCTGGTGGGCGCCTGGGCACCCTAACTGCGCCTTTCACTCCCAGGCCCGATTGTAAGTTCACGAGGACTCATCCTGATCTCTGTTTAGTTTGGGTTCCCCAGGACGCAGACCCTGAGATGTAGATTCCAGGGCATGGGCATTAAACACCAGCTGCGGGGCAGAGGCAGAGAGGGAGGGGTGTCAATGTGGATACACTGTCACCCAGTTACCACAGGGGCCATCAGAGCCCAGCCCGCAGGGGAGCTGGGAGCTGGGTCAGTTTCCTGTGTGCTCCCCACACCACTCAGTTGTCTTAGTATCAACTCAAACCCCAGCTCCCCACAGCTCTGTGTTGGTGACAGACTATCCTGTCCTCATCCAGCCCCAGCCCTGTTCAGCCAGTAGACGGGGGGACGGAAGGCCAGGCCTTAGAGACATGGAGTGCCAGGGATTGAGGGCAGGGGTTGGTTTAGGGCATAGAGGTGGGCACCAGGGACACCTAGTCCTGGCCAAGCAGAAGAGACCAGGGTGGAGATGCCACCCAGCAGCTCATCTGTCAGGCGCTTGGCTGGTCACTGCCACCAGGGTATGCCAAGTTCCTCCTGGGAGCAGGTGGGCCAGGTCCCCTTTGGAATTCTCAGAGCCCAGGGGCTACTCTAGGCTTTGGGTCCGGTCCAGGGGGCTTACCTGGAAACAGGGTGGGAGGGAGACTAAGAGGAGAATCAGGAAAAGTGTGGGCGATGTTCTGATTACCACGGCTGCAAAGCAAGTTATCCCAAACTTAGTGGTGAGAAACAACAGCCGTTTTATTTCGCTCATAGTTTAATGGGTCAAGCACTGGGGAAGGGTCTCCAGTGACTGCTATCAGATGCTGGCTGGCGCTGGGGTCACCTGGAGGGCTCCGTGGGGCTGGACATGCAGGACGGCTCCCTCCCAGCCTGGCAGGCCAGCGGTGCTGGCTCAGTGGGAGCTCGGCGGGCCGCGGGTAAGAGCAAGGCTGCCCGGCTCTGCGGCTGGGTGAGCTCAGGGCAGCCTGACTTCTTGCACAGGGCGGGCTCATCCCAGAGCAAGTGTTCTTTTTTAAAAAAATTTTTTTAATGTCTCTATTGATTTTATATATAGAGAGAAACATCAGTGTGAGAGAGGAACATTGATCGGCTGCCTGCTGCATGCCCGCCACTGGGGCATGTGCCCTGACTGGGAATTGAACCGGGACTGTCAGTCCACGAGACCTCAGTCCACGGGACGACACTCAATCCACTGAGCCACACTGGCTGGGCCCAGAGCAAGTGTTCTAAGAGAAGCAGATGGAACCTGTGTGGCCTTTTTTTTATCCTCACTGGAGAATATTTTTCCACTTATCTTCAGGTAGAGTGGAAGGGGGGAGAGGGACAGAAAGGGAGACAGAGAGAAACATCGATGTGAGAAGGACACAGCAACTGGTTGCCTCCTGCACGGCCCCGACCAGGGCTGGACAAACCGCAGCCAAGGTACGTGCCCTTGACTGGAATCGAACCCGACACTCATTGGTCTGCGGGCCGACGCTCTAACCGCTGAGCCAAACCGGCCAGGGCTGTGTGGCCTTTTGTAGCTTGGCCCCCACAGTCACACGGCCACTTCACTGTGGAGGCCGTGGCAGCCCTCCGATTCCAGGGGAGAAGGACAGAGAACCACCCCCCCCCCCCCCCGGGAAGTGTGCCGCAGGGCCCTGGGCCACGTTTTTAAACCATGGTGACATCTGAGAGCAGGGCTCTCTCCCTGTGCTAACTGGGACCTCACAGGGGAGCCCTGGGGGACACCAAGAAACCTCAAGCCAGCACCCACTCTACAGATTCAGAGCTGCCCTCAGCACTGCCCGCCCTCATGCCTGGCCGGCGCCCGCACAGTGCAGGCCAAGGAGACCTCAGGCCGAGGCCCGGGGCCGGGCAGCAGCCCGGAGGGTGTGGGGCGGGCCTGGGGACACGCGGGTGCCTGAGTGCACAGGTGTGCGTGCACACTTGCGAGTGTGAGTGCACGGGAGAGGGCTCCTTCCTTCTGGAAGACGCTGTGCTCCGCAGACTCCCCTTCCCGAGGGCACAGGCTTTGCAGGTACCGTGGGGAAGATGAGGCAGGATCAAAAGGGTTTCGGGGGGGGGGCCAAGGCAAGAGTGTGCCTTGAGCAAGGAGTCCCATGGGAGAAGGAGGGGCTGGGACCCTGATCCTGAGGCCTCGGGGTTCAGGGCTTGTGAAAAGCTGAGCTGTGGCCGATCAATGGAAACCAGTGACAGCTTCCTGGCAGCATGAGGAAACACCTTCGGAGAGGGGTGGGGCTGTGGGGTGTCCCCCCAAACCCTCCCTGAGGCCAGGAGGTGAGATGCCCCTTTAGCACCCCACCTGTCCTCGTGGTCCCAGAACCTGCTCTCGGCTCCATCCCAGGGCGAAGTGCCCAAGGCGGCCAGTGCCCCTGCGTGCGGCAGCCTGTTGCCCAGTCTCCCTCATCCCCACCAGGGCGGGCTCCCGCACAGCCACCCTCCCAGCAGGCTCTCACCGAGACTGATCCAGTGAGTGAGGAGCGGTGCCTGTTGGGTTGGTGGTATCAGGCTCTGCCTCAGTGTCTGGCCCTGCCTCTTGCTCCTCTGATTGGTCTCAGGCCGTGACTGCCCGCCAACCCTGCACCCACTCCAGAGCCCGCCCAGGCCCTCAGGCACTTCCTGTGAAGCAGGATCCGTCCTGGCCGGTGTGCCCCTGGAAGTGGGCAGCCAATCCAGGGGAAAGGACACTTGGCTCAGGCCTGGCGGTCTGCCTGGGCTGGGGGTACCGTGTCTAGGCCAGGGCACTGCCAGCAGGAGGATCCTAGTGAGCAGTGGATGGAGGGTCCAGGGAGGGCAGATGAGCAAGGCTCTGTGTCCCCGGTCATGCCTGGACCCAGCCCTCGAAATCCACTCAGGCCCTCTCTCCCTCCCCAGTTCTACTGCTCTCTATTCCCCTCCTGCCTCTGGGACTCCGGTGCAGTTTCTCAGTCACTCTGTTCATCCACCCACCCATCTACCCACCCACCCATCTACCCACCCACCCATCCATCCACCCACCCATCCACCCACCCACCCATCCACCCACCCATCCACCCACCCATCCACCCATCCATCCACTCATCCACCCATCCACCCACCCATCCACCCATCCATCCACTCTTCCATCCATCCATCCACTCATCCATCCATCCACCCATTCATCCACCCACCCACCCATCCACCCATCTATCCATCCATCCACCCACCCACTGAAGCAATACTTAAGGGACACTTGGCCTGTGCTGGTGAGGTTCCAGGCCCTGGGGACACAGCAACAAACAAGACAGGTGGCAGTCTGCCCTCACGAGGCATATGTTCCAACTGAGAGACAATAGGCACTTAAGTAAATTAAATGTACAACCATTTATTTATAATATGATAAAAATGCTCTGAAGAAAAATAAAGCAGGGCAGGGGCATAGGAAGAGAGCCAGCTACAGGGGGAAGGGAGGTAGATGTTCTTTTGACACAGGTGGTTAATAAATACCCATCTAAGAAGGTGACAATGAAGTGAAAACCTCAAGGAGGTGAGGAAGTGAATCACATAAGTTCCTAGGGGCAGAGCCTCCAGGGAGAGGAAACAGCAAGTGCAAAGGCCCTGAGGCAGGAATGGGCTGAGTGTGTCTAAGGAACAACAAAGAGGCCAGCATGGCCAGAGCACACAGAGCAAGGCGGGCAGCAGGAGACAGGGATGGAGACGGAGAGGGAGCAGGATGGCAGGGACCTGTCAGCCCTTGAAAGGATTTTAGGTCTCGTGTGGGCGATGGGGAACCAGTGCAGAACTCTGAACAGAGGATTGATGTTTTTAAAAAATACATTTTTATTAGTTTGGTTTTCTTGTTTGTTTTTTTTAGAGAGAGAGGAAGGGAGAGATAGAAACCTTGATGAGAGAGAGACACATCAATGGGCTGCCTCCCGCACACCCCCTACTGGGCATCGAGCAGGAATCCTGGACATGTGCCCTGACTGAGAATCGAACCAGGACCTCTCAGTCCATGGGACAATGCTCGATCCACTGAGCCACGTGTGCTGGGCCAGAGGACTGATGTTTTAAAGTAACAGTAGCTTGTGTTACATTATGCTTAACAGTTCTAAATATTTTTTTAAACACTGAACATGTATTAACTCATTTAACCCTCCAAATACCCTTTACTAAAGACGAGGAAACCCACACTAAAGAGGTCTCTACCCATTAGATGCTACTAGCAAACCCCCAGTGTGACAAACCAGAAATGTCCCAGACACTGCCAAATGTCACCTGGCACATGGAGCTGCTGGCGACTGAGAACCACTGCCCATGCCCATCTGCCTCTGTCCCAGCTACTCTCCTGCTTTACAGCCGCCAGGGCTCCCACCGCCCTGAGGACAGACGCCAAGCCACTTGGGCTGGCATCTATGCCCTGTGCAATCCGGCCCGACTACCCCTCCAACTCTACCCTGGTGCCCCTCCTCCTGCCTGCCCTCCCTTGCTCACTCTGTGCTGAGCCAGCTCTGTGCCGGCCACCATGCTGGACATTTCAGAAGTGGAGACAAAGCCCCCAGGGCCAGCCCTTATGGTGCGTCTGTCTGTCCAGGGCAGGGGAGAGCAGGTCCCATCAGTCCCCTAGCCAGGGAGCTGTGAGGACCCCAGGAGGACGCAGTGCAGGAGATGAGCTGTACAGACTGGGTAGGGGCGGTCGAGGGCAGGGGGAAGACCGGCAGAGATGGGCAGAGGTCTGAGCGGATCCAGAAACTGTGGCTGTGATTTGGGCCCCAGTAAAGGTATTGAGAATGCAAGTGTGAAGAGGGGTGGATGGCAGGGAGCAAAGGGTTAGACGTGAGGAGGGGCACTGAACAAGTGGGCCCAGGACAGCAGAGTCCAGGGTGGTCCTGGCTTGAGCAGAGAGCTGGAAAGTAGGGTCATGGTGCAGACTGTCCCACTGGCAGGCGTGGCCTCTCCCTTTCCTTCACCTGTCAAATTCCTCCTCGTCTTCTTCGTCCTCCTCCTCCTGCAAGCCCCAATCACAGATGGCGCCTCCTCCCTGAAGCCTGCAGATTCCTCCCTGCTGGAATTACTTGCTCTCTCTGCAGTCTCCAAACCTGTATTATAGCAACATCATCTGATTTTTATTGTCAGGATCTGTTGTTACCCCACACCCTCAAGTGTGAATTTCATGACAGAGGTGTCTTTGATCCTTGGTCTATGAGCAGATTGAATCAGAGCCCCAGCTCCAGCCTGGGCCCCCCTCCCCCCACCCCAGGGCTTGGGCCGCAGGGAGCGGAAACACCCTTGGTTCAGTGCTCCTGGAGTTTGGCCCAGCCCATCCTCACATGGGGCTGTCCTGGCCCAGACCCAGGACGCACACTCCCTAGCACACTCCCTGCTGGTGCCAACCACCTCCTACCGTCTGCCCGTGCGCCCGCCACAGTCGCCCACGCACAACCAGGCTGCCCACTTGCCTTCAGTGGGACCTTCCTGAGCCCCAAGCCTCAGGGTCACCCCTCTCCCTCTCCAGACTCTGGGGCAAGGGTGGAAGATTCCACTGCGCGGAGGTGCAAAGGGTGCTCCCTAGTGCTGAAGACACCCCCCAGCACCTCCAGCACCTTTTTATAACATCAGCAGCAGCCAGCGCCACGACCTGCCCCACAACCCCAGCAGCCTCCTAAGTGGCCTCCCCACTTCACTCCACCCCCTGCAGCAGCCAAGGGAGACGTTTTTTAAAATTGATTTTTTTTTTTTATGCTCACCTGAGGACATTTTTCCATTTTGTTGTTCAGATAGAGTGGAAGGGAGAGAGAGAGAAAGAGAAACATCGACGTGAAAGGGACACATCGAGTGGCTGCCACCCGCACTACCCAACCAGGGCCCGGGACAAACTGTAACTGAGGTACGTGCCCCTAGCGGGAACTGAACCAGAGTCTCTCGGGACTGCAGGCCGACGCTCTAACCGCTGAGCCAAACCGGCCAGGGCTTAAAATTGATTTTTGAGAGGAGAGAGAGAGACAGAGATGGACATTGGTTTGTTGTTCCACTTATCCATTGGTTGATTCTTGTATGTGCCCTGACTGGGGATGGAACCTGAACCTTGGTGGATCAGGAAGATGCTCTAACCATCTGAGTACCCAGCCAGGGCCCTGGGAGACTTTTAGAATGTAAACCACATCATGTCACTCCTCACTGATAAAGTAACCCCTCAAAAACCAAGATCGAGAAGGTACACCATCTCCTCCTTCCTCCCTGACCTCACTTCCAGTACCCCTCCCATTCACTGCGTCCACCACACAGGCCTGTTCCGGATCCTCAGCCACACCAGGTGCTCCAGTGCAGGGCGCTGCTCCCGCCAAGCTCTCTGCTGCCCGGCCTTCCCATCGCCGACCCCCTCCTTCCTCCCCCCTCCCCGTCCTGCCTGCACACCTCCTCAGCCAGGCCTTCCCATCATCACTCTGTCTGAAACTGCACTCCATTACCCTGCCTCCTCCTTCTGCATAGTTCTTGTCCCACCTGATGATATCTTAGGTTTATTATTTATCCTACCTGCAATAATAAATGCTCAAAAAAATGAAGATTTTGGCCCTGGCCGGTTTGGCTCAGCGGTTAGAGCTTCGGCCCTCGGACCAGAGAGACCCGGGTTCGGTTCACGCTAAGGGCACGTACCTCGGCTGCAGTTTGTCCCCGGCCCTGGTTGGGGTTGTGTGGATGGCAACCTGTTGATGTGTCTTTCTCACATGAATGTTTCTCTCTCTCTCTTCTTCCCTCTCTCCCTCCTGCTCTGTCTGAAGATGAATGCAAAAACGTCCTCAGGTGAGGATAAAAAAAAAAAAGTGAAGATTTTGTATGTTGTGTTCACTGCTCTATTCTTCAGCGTCTAGAATAGGGGTGGGTATAGTAGATGCTTAAATACTTGCTCCGTGCCAACCAGCACTTCCTTGAATCTTCCATTTCACAGATGTCGGAACTGAGATCCAGAGAGGTGTGGCCTGTCTGCAGTCACTTGAGTTTGTCACATTGGAGCTGGGCCTCCAATCCAGCCCAGTCCCTCCCCTCTGCCTGCCTGCTCTCCCTCTCATTTCCCACCTGCAAAACGGTAAGCTTGTCGGCCTTCCCTCCCTGCCCCCACCGCCCCCACCGCCCCCACCAGGCTGACCACAGAGCCAGAGCACACCTTCCTCAGAGGTCCTGCCTGGAGCCCACAGGGAGCAGCCCCCCTGTGCCCTGCAGCCAGGCCCAGCTTTGACCCTGCTCACATTTCTCTAGGACCACCCCCTGCCCCCACTGACCTTTGCGCAGCTGACACCCTCGGAATGGAGCTGGGACTGCTCTTCGGGCCTCTCCCGCTGGAGGCACAGTGAGAGACAGACAGAGCGGGACGGGGACTGTTCCAGGACACAGCACAGCCCACCGAGCTCCCCCAGCTCCACCTGGCAACTCCCCGGAAGCCCCTCGGAGACTGTCTGCGGCCCCTGGTCCCTGGCCCCTGCCCCGTGCGCTGCTGCTGGGACAGGCCCTTGCCTTCCCCCAGCAGCACTCACGGCGTTTCCCCCTACCTGGGGCAGGTCACCCTGTGTCCCAGCCATCCCGCCCTGTCCTGTATGACCCTTACCGCCGGCCAGCGGGGCAGACATCCACGTGGTCTTGCTGCTGCCCAAGGAGGCTCGAGCCTCCAACAAAACCTTCCTACACTGCAGGTAGCAGTGCAGCCTGCTTCTGCCCCGCCTCCCTGATTCCTGGGAAACCGTGTAACAGAGAGAATGGGGGGGGGGGGGGCCACAGGCCGATACCACAGAGGTGGAGGAGGGGGTGGGAAACGGGAGAGTGGGGAGACTTGGTAAGTTCGGACAAAGGGCTGGACTTAGACCCACAGCCTGACCAGGGCCACTGCCAGCCCGCTGGCCCTTTGGAGCCCGCAGAGGCGGGCACCCCACTGGGCGTAGAGCCCTCTCGCGCTGAGCCAGGCGCCCAGTGCAGGCCGGCAGCCCCGCCCGGCTGTCTGTGCATTCAGGGGGGACAGCAACTTTAATTTTATTCTTTATTGATTTTAGAGAGAGAGGAAGGGAGATGGAGAGAGATAGAAACACTAATGAGAGAACATTAATTGGCCACCTCCTGCATGCCCCCCACCAGGGGTTTGGCCCACAACCTGGGCGTGAGCCTGGATGGGGAATCAAACTGGTGACCTCTTGGTGCATGGGTCGAGGCACAACCACTGAGCCACACTGGCCAGTGGGGAGGGGGGGACAACTTTAAATGCCACCCAGTCCTCAGGTCCGACCCACAGACACACCTGTGGTTCCTTCGAAGTCTTTCAGAGGTGCCTGAGCCCAGCCCTTCAGGCTCACCTGCCCAGCCCTCCCCACAGCTTGTCCTCAGGCTGTGTCCCCACTGCCTTCGCCACAGAGACCAGCCAGGACCCTGAGAGGCGGGAAAGGCCCTCATGCCTGTGCCGGCTTCCTGCTCAGCACCAGCAGCCGCCCTTCCGGCTGCACAGACTGTCCTCTCTGTAGGTCGTGGGGAGCGGGCGGGGGTGGACCAGAGGTGGCATGACCCCCCTTGACAAAAAGGGGCAGAGTCTCCCTCACTGAACCAAGGACTCTGCCTCTCACTCCTCACGGCCAAGGCCTGAGTGGGCCTGGCCTACCCTGACGCACGGCGGAGCTGTCCTGGGCCTGAGTGGGCCTGGCCTACCCTGACGCATGGCGGAGCTGGTCTCGGCCTGAGTGGGCCTGGCCTACCCTGACGCATGGCGGAGCTGGTCTCGGCCTGAGTGGGCCTGGCCTACCCTGACCCACGGCGGAGCTGGTCTCGGCCTGAGTGGGCCTGGCCTACCCTGACCCACGGCGGAGCTGGTCTCGGCCTGAGTGGGCCTGGCCTACCCTGACGCACGGCGGAGCTGGCCTGGGCCTGAGTGGGCCTGGCCTACCCTGACCCACGGCGGAGCTGGCCTGGGCCTGAGTGGGCCTGGCCTACCCTGACCCACGGTGGAGCTGGTCTCGGCCTGAGTGGGCCTGGCCTACCCTGACCCACGGCGGAGCTGGTCTCGGCCTGAGTGGGCCTGGCCTACCCTGACCCACGGCGGAGATGGCCCTGGGCCTGAGTGGGCCTGGCCTACCCTGACCACGGGGAGCTGGTCTCGGCCTGAGTGGGCCTGGCCTACCCTGACCCACGGTGGAGCTGGTCGGATGGGGCCTGCCTACCCTGAGCACGGTGGAGCTGGTCTCGGCCTAGTGGCCTGGCTACCCTGACCCATGGCGGAGCTGGTCTCGGCCTGAGTGGGCCTGGCCTACATTGACGCACGGTGGAGCTGGCCTGGGCCTGAGTGGGCCTGGCCTACCCTGACGCACGGTGGAGCTGGTCTCGGCCTGAGTGGGCCTGGCCTACCCTGACGCACGGCGGAGCTGGTCTCGGCCTGAGTGGGCCTGGCCTACCCTGACCCACGGCGGAGCTGGTCTCAGCCTGAGTGGGCCTGGCCTACCCTGACGCACGGCGGAGCTGGCCTGAGCCCCGCAGCCGCTGGCTGGCCCCCCCAGAGGAACGAGGGAGGGGGTGCAGCCCCATCCTGCTGTGCTCTGGGCCCCAGGATGCCCACTCCAGGGGCACAGCTGGCACCAGGTCTGGGGCCTACCAGGAAGGGAAAGGAGAGGCAGGGGAGAGTAGGGGTCTAGGTAAAACCAGAGAGCCCACAGGCTGCCCTCCAAGGCCCTCGCCCTTCCCAACAGCCACCTCGGGGAGGAAATCCTTAGGGCACAGGTGAGTCATGCGGTCACAAGGCTGCTTCCCGGCTGACTCAGGGGGCAGCCCAGATGGGTCCTGCCACCAGCCTCCAGCTCCGAGGCTGAGTCAGGGATTCCAGGGGCCCCGGCCAGAAGCCCAGGAGAACGCCCCCGGACAGCCGTGGACTACCTGCCTTCTCCATGGTTGGGGGATGGGAGGCAGGGACAGGAGGCCAGTCACTGCCATAGCCGTACCCCGCCCCCCCCAAGCATGTGCCATGCACCCAACCAAGAGCAGTTATCAGTCACGTGGTTAAGAGAGGCCGCCATGGCCCTGGCTGGTTTGGCTCAGCGGTTAGAGCGCCTGTAAACAGCAGTTGTGTTGAGAAGAGCTGGGGGCAATGTGAGCTCCCCCTCTCACGTGTGCTGGGCCCGGGCCACAGGAAGGGAAGGAACCCTGGTCCTACCGGAGCCTCCAGACAACAGCACCTCCTGGTGCCCAAAGTGGGCAGGATCCCTGGATGAAGTGTGCCCGCCCTTTCTTGGCCAGGGAGGACACAGCACCGTGAGCCCCAGTGCAAGCCCACCCTTGATGCGGGGACTCTGTGGAGTTGGGCCTTCTAGATGTCTGCACCTCCTCTGCCCGGGACCCCCCGCGGTGCCAGGCACCCAGCATGCAACCTGAGCTGCAGCGGGGGGCAGGGACCTCGCGCGTGACCCCGGCCCAGCCCCCAGACAGTCCCCGTGGTCCCAGGGCTGCTTTCCTGGCTTTGTCCCCGTGCTGGCTGGGCAGGAACTTCCTGCTGGAGAATTCCCGGATCCTCCCCGAGGCCGCAAGCCTGCCTGGGAACAGGCGGGAGGGAAGTGGGGAGCCTCCTGCTGACAGGGCAGGTCTGGGCCAGGGTCCTTCCCCACCCCGTGCGGTGCACACACCTCCTGTCCTCCCGCAGACCTGCCAAGCCCCACGAGCCCAGGGCTCTGCAGCTCCACCAGCTCTGAGCGCTGGACGGAGACCCAGACAAACGAGCTGGATCCACAGACAGACAGCAGCCAAGGAGGTCAGAGTCAAATTGGGCTTTATTAATGACATCACAGGCCGAGTCTGATTGGTGGGGACAGTCTTTGTCAGGCCCACCCTGCAGACACATGGACACCATTCATCCCAGCCCCTGGCCCCAGGAACTCCTCGGGTGTGTGCTGAGGAGAGGGGCTCCATCCTGCGCAGGCTCCAGGTTCGGGGCAGGGCAGACTCGCGCACCAGCTTCCCTCAGCCCAGAAGCCAGTTCCCCCTCTCATCCATCTCCTCCAGGAGCAGGCGCTGGGGCAGCGGTGGGGAAGGCAGATGCCTCAGCATCTTTGGGATCTGTCCTCCTGGCTCTGCACCCCCAGAACCTCCCCACCTACCCCCCAGAGACAAGCACCCTGAGGCCACCTTTCCCAGACCTTCCACAGGTCCCCACAGCTGACCCAGATCTACCAACCCTGAGCCACCTCCCGTCCATAAAATGGAGTCCGGCACCCCCGCCAATCCCTCCCTGTCCTCACCTCTGTGCTGGACACCACACCAACCGGGCTCTGCACCCTTCCCTCCAGCCCAGGGTGGTGCTTCCGCTGCCTCGGCGCCCTTCTCCCGGGCCCCCAGCACTCCCCAAAGGCTGGGGGGCGCCCTCCTTCCCCCTTAGCTTGGTGTTCCTGAGGAAAGAGAAGAAGAAAGTGGGGTGGCAATGAGGACAGCTCTCTGAAACACCCACGAAAGGAAGATATTCCGGAGGCAGCCGTGTCCCCAGAGTGAGGACTGAGCTGGGCACCCTCTTGCCACCACCCAGAAACTGCCTAGGGCCCCTCCAATGCTGCTCAGGCTACCCCAGGACTGTGATCCCTGGGCTAGGGCTGGCCAGCTCCAGGGTGGTTCTGCAGGGCAGGGGAGGGGAGGAAGAGGGAAAGGCAAAGGCGAGGGGCCCTGCGGAGCTGACTACCTGTGTGGGGCAGGAGGGTGGCTCAGCCCTGTCCCAGGAGCACGGAGGGGTGCCTGTGGCACGGGCACGCGGGCTCCAGACAGTGAGAAGGCCGCCCCTCAGTGCCTGGTGAGCCTGCTCCTGGTGGTCAGACCCCACAGAGGGCGCCGTAGTCCTAACGCTGAGTGCCCTGGGCAGGGGGGGCCAGAGGCTCTTCAGCTCCAGCCGTCCCCTTGCACCGGAACAGGAGCCCAGGCCCACACTCAGGGTCACAGAAAGTCAGCCCAGAGCAGGGACTGGACTCCAGACTGGCCTCCGAACCCTATGCTGGTTCCTTCTCTCTCTCTCTGTTTTGTTTTTTGGTTAATCCTCACCAGAAGATATTTTTCCATTGATTTTTAGATAGAGTAGAAGGGAGGGAGGGAGGGAGAGAGAGAAATATTGATGTGAGAGAGACACATGAATTAGTTGCCTCCCGCATGTGCCCCGACTGGGCTAGAGATCAAACCTGCAAACCAGGTACATGCCCTTGACCAGGAATCGAATCCCTGACCCTTCTGTGCATGGGCCGGCACTCTAACCACCAGCACACTAGCCAGGGCCATTAGTTGATTCTTGTATGTGCCCTGACCAGGGATCGAACCCGAAATCTGTATCGGGACAACATTCTAACCAACTGAGCTACCCAGCCAGGGCCAAACCCAATGCTCTTTCCTTTGGTTAAACTACACAGACTGACAGAGGCAGTATCCACTGAATAAAAGAGCGAGCTGATGATGAAGAGAAATTAACTCAGGAAGCACACCGACACACTTCGCACGACACTCCATCCAGGTGCACTCAGGGAAGCGGGGACAGGCCTCATGTTTAAGACTGATATCCAGGTGCGTGGGCAGCGGGTGGTCCGTGGTGTGACCCAGCCGGGTAGCTCCCCCACACCTGTGTGTGCTTGTGGGGGTAGGCATGCGTGTGAATGGACAGAAAATAGGAAGTGAGCAACATTACGTGAATTACAGATGTGCTGGAAAGCCTTAAAGCCACCTAGACACGTCCCCGCGAGAACAGATGAAGATACTGAGGCCCAGAGAGGAAACGGACCTGCCCGAGGCCGCACAGCCAGTGACTGACAAACTGAAGCCTTACTGGTGGGCATTTGGACTCTGGGTCACATGAGAGACAGAGACAGATGGAGAAGTGTGTGTGTGCAGGGGTCCGGGTGGTACTCAGAAATATCACCAAGAAGGGCTTATGCCTTCCCCGACCCAGGCGGTGGGGGCTGGGGCTGGAACTAGGGCCAGGCCTGCGGGACGGGAGGCCTCCAGCCCCACCTTTGCCAGGGTCCTCAGGCAGGGTGGCATACCTGCTCACCCACAATGCTCGCCGCCTCCAGGGCCACCTCTGGCTGGACCAGCGGCTCCCGGCCCTCACGGCTGCCCACCTTCCAGAGGCGGGACTCCTGCTGTACTTCCAGAAGCTTCTTTAAGTCTGACTCCACCAAACCTGAGAACCAGAGAGGTGGGCAAGGGACAGCCAGCAGTAGGGAGGGGGAAGCGGCTGGAGGTCGAAGGAAGAGGAGGCAGCTCTCTCTCAGCCTCATCCTGGCCCCATGTATTCCTGTCACCCCAGCCACAGCGCTTTCTTCATCCATTACCTGGTGTCAGGGGGACACCTCTCCACCGCTCTGCACACCACGGGCTCCCTCCTGCAGGGCAGTGTGAGTCTCAGCACCTCCTGGGGACCCTGCCAGAGGCAGATATCTGCTCCCCTCCAGCCACCAAGTCAAGAGCATGGATCTGGAACCATCCAAACTGCCTGGGTTCAGGTCCTGGCTCTGCCACTTACTAGCTGTGTGATCTTGGGTGAGTTATTTAACTTCTCTGTGCCTAGTTCCCTCACGGTGACGTGGAGAGTATAATAAGACCTTCCTCAGAATTCAGTACATTATTTTGTGAAAAGTGCTTAGAAGAGGATATGGCCCATAGAAATGATTATGTAAATATCAAATGATTTTATATTATCACCATCCCCAGCTCTCTCCTTATCTGCCCTCAGGGACACCCTCTGAGACAGTCACAGCAGTGCGTTTACGATGGGAAAACCAGAGATGGAGGTGGCCACTGAAAAAGAATTCCAGGCTGGGGAAGGTGGCGCTCCGGGAGCCACAGCCCCAGTCACAACCTTCACCTTGCTGTCTCCAAAATCCTGAGGGAGCATGGCCTCCAGCCCGGCCACTCTCGGCCCCTACCTCCGGTGGTCATCTTGTGTCCTATGATACCACCTGGTGGTAAGAACTGGTATCACACCCACGAGCCTACATCCAAAATCAGACTCCGTGGGCCTGGGGCATGTTGGGAGGGGAGGTGGGGCGTCGCACTTACCCACTGTATCTGTTGACCCAAATGTCTTATGCAGTGGCGACTGGAGGGTGACGATGCCTGGGACACAGAGCTTGAATGAGCTGTCCTCTTCCTCACCTTCCTCCTCGAGGTGGGATAAGCCATCCTTGAGAGGAAACTGAGGCTGTGCCAGGTCACTGAGCAGGTGCGAACGGCCCCAGGCCTGCAGCCCCACCCCCACATAAGACAGAAAGAAGAGGAAACAGATCCCAAAGATGTAAGAAAGAGGACTGCTCTCGCTTGGCCCAAGCCACATATCCTGGGGCCCAGGCAGATGTGGGGAGGGCCCCCCAGGCCTCCCAATCCTACCCCAGCTTGGCCCACAGACCTTGGCCATGGTCAGTTTCTGAAACTGCTTGTATAAGGTGAGGAGGTGGTTCCAGGGGGTTGCCCCCACCTTTACAGAGGCCAGCCTGAGGTCTCCTGTGGAGGGCTGTGTCACAGACTGTCTGACAGCAGTGGGGGGGGGGGGGCAGGCCCAAGCCCAGCAGGGCAGGGACATCTGGAGGGTTAAGCTGAGGGTGAGGTTTCCTGGTTTTCTTTAGCAAACTACAGGCCAGGCACAGTTCTGGGCACTTCACAAAGGACATTTCATTTAATCCTTCTAACTACCTTCGGAGAGGTGCTACTACACTCTCGTGTTAGATGAAGAAGCTGAGACACAGACAAGCTGAGCCGTTTGCCACCATCACACCGCCTGGCACAGTGCAGTTGGGACCCAAGCCCAGGCAGCCTGCCTCCCGCATTCCTGAGACCCGTCCTTCCAGGCCCCACACCCCTGCAGAGGCCTAGAAAAAGAGGGTCTGTTTGGGGCCCTCCCCATGCCTGTGGCCACCACACTCACCACCCAGCAGACACTCCTCCTCCTCCACGGTGAAGGCCTCAGGGCTGACCTCCAGTGGCCCCGTGGCCCTCCTCTCCAGGGCGTGGGCAAAGTGACCCCTGATCCCAAAACATAGTCAGGTGGGGGTGGCAGGTGGGGCCCAGAGAATGATAAAAGCCTCCAACACCCCCATCCACCAAGGCTCTCCCACAGGCCCTACTTGGCCCTTCCTGCTGGGCTTCGTCCTGGACATGGGTGTGGGGTGGGAACCAGGAGGGACAGAGTGGGAAGGGAGGGCAGGGTGGATTGGGGCCAAGAAAGGATCTGGCAGCAGTGGCGGCTGCTCACCCTGGCGCCCCCGTCTGGCCCCAGCCAGGCTCCTCTCCCTTTGGAGCTCCCGTCCACAACCCTCTCTTGTGGGAGGCCCCTCATCTCTGCTTCCTTCCACCCCCACACACCCATCTCCAGAGGCCTCCTCACCCTTGATGCCCTGGTCTAATCCTCCACCCACCCAAGGATTCACATTCCTGGCCCCAGCCCTGTGGGTCCTGCCATACCCTTCTCCCAGCAGCTCCACCCCAGCCCCTCCCACCATCCACAGCCCCGTCCCTCACCTGTCTGAGGTCCTGGTGTCCCTGGAGGCCTCCCCAGCTGCCTCCTCCTCCTCTTCAGACAGGTCGCCCAGAACTTCCTGGCTTCCTCTGGGCCGGACCCACTTTAGCTCTACAGCCGGGGCCATGATGCTCAAGACCTCCATGGTGGTGGCGGTGTGTGCCCCCACGTCCTCCATCCCCAGCCCCGGGGGATCGTGCTGTGGCGGGGTCCCAGAGGTGTGGTGCACCCTGGCGGGCCGCCGGGGCTCCTTCTTCCTCACTGCCCCCTGGCGGTCAGTCATCAAGGACACAGCCTCCGGCTCCCGGGAGAGGCACTGCCGACCCCCCAGCAGGGCCTTGTCGGAGCTCCCTGGGCTGCCCTTGCTCCCCACCAGGCTACGGAAAAAGCGGACCATGGTGGAGTGACCCAAAATTTGAGATGGAGGGGTTGGAGCTGGGCTGTCCATCCTGAGTGGGACCCTGACTCGGAGGGAGGGGCCGTAGCAGCCACCCCAGACCAACTGCTTAAGAACAGGAGGAGTTTTCAAATTAAAAGCTCCAGTTGGAAACTTCCAGGAGTTCTAGAAGGCAAAGGTCAGGCAGGTGGGAGGTAGGGAGTGATGGGGGGACATGGCGGGGGCGATTGGTTGGGGACAGAGAGGGCAGGTTGATGAGGCCGGAGGAGGCATGGGGAGGAAGCATGTGGGTGGGGAGTGGGCAGAGGAGGCTGGGGAGCCCGTACCCTGAGATGGGACAAGGGATCTTGAGGACTCGGCATACCCTCTCTTCACCTGGCTGATCCTCCTGGCCCCTCCCCGGCTGTGGCCGCTTCTGTCCTTGAGAACATGGGGCAGCAGGTGGGACCACCCTCTCTTTTTCTCCCCTGGGCACTCAGCTTGCCTGTGTCCAGGTGGGAGCACAGACCTCATCATGCTGTCGTGTGTGTGTTTGTTTTGTTGTATCCAGAGAATTCCTTTATTGAAACTTTCATTAAGTTTTACCATGAAAATGTACATTCATGATGGAAAATACATACCAATTACGTGTCAGAAAAAAATACTTGACTAGTATTGTTATATAGCGTATTGGCTAATTCCAGTGATCCTCACCTCTTACTGCTGACATTATCTCCAGTATTTGAAGTATAAGGCAGGGTTCATTTCTGTCTGTTGAACATTGCCCATCTCCCATTCCTTTTCGGTAGGGTGACCGGAAAGGGGACCTGGCCCTGAGCGGGTCTGCCTGCGCCGGCCCATAGCTTGTGGGTTTTGTTTGTTTTTTTATCCTCACCCAAGGACATTTTTTTATTTTTTGTTCAGATAGAGTGGGAGGAAGAGAGAGAGAGAAACATCCACGTGAAAGGGACACATCGAGTGGCTGCCACCTGCATGACCCAACCAGGGCCGGGGACAAACTGCAACCAAAGTACATGTCCTTAGTGGGAACCGAACCCGGGTCTCTCTAGACCGCAGGCCAGCGTGCTAACCGCTGAGCCAAACTGGCCAGGGTGCTTGTGGGTTCTTGAGTTTCTGCGGGAAAAGTTTCACAACAGGAGTCCGGGTGAACTTTAGGGGACGTTTATTAAAGCTGGGGACAGTGCAACAAGGAGGGGCTGGGAACTGAGCCCAGGCTGGGCTGCTTTGGCTCACTGAGAAGTCAGAGAAGAGGGGGCCTTGGGGTCAGGTTCAGGGGTTTGCCTGGATGAACTGCTGCCCATTGCTGCCCTGGTTGGAAACCTCGTGGGGTCCCTTAGAGTTTAGGAGGTGCTGCCTGTGGGGAAGAGAGAGGGGGCACGGGCGTGCTCCTGGGTGGGAGAGTGGGAGCTGGGCCTTTGTTTTGAGGGGTTTTAAAGGCTGGGCGTTTAGGGGAGATCTTAGGGGGGGATCAATAAAATATCCATCAGCTTTATGCTGACGCACCAAAATGAGGTTTATTCTCTTAACTTCATCTGTCCTGGGGTGTAGTAGGCAAATAGCACTAACTGGATTCCTGCTCTGTCTCCCTGACTTAAGCTATTAGCCCTCTGGTTGGGGAGAGTGCAAACCATTTACTCCCGAGTGTCCCTGGTTCAGGGAAGACAGGCTGGACTAGGTGGCTGCAAACCGCTGTGTAACTGTCTCCAGTTCTCTATTCTGCTGTCCTGACTTACTGGCCTGTCTCAGTAGGAAATGAAGGTTTTATATATTTTGAAACAACATGTGTACTTTTTTTTTTTTCAGATAGAATGTGAGGGAGGGAGAGAGAGAGATCGACCTGAGAGAGACACATTGACTGGCTGCCCCTCACACAACCCGGACCAGGGCCAGGGATGAGCCACAACCAAGGTACATTGACCAGAACTGAACCCACAACTCTTTGGTCCACAGGCCGACACACCAACCACTGGGCCAAACCGTCCAGGGCCAACATGTGTACTTTGACTCCACACCAAGGTGCTTCCGTCTTAATCGTTAATTTTCACTACGTATCAACTTCAAAATTTCCAAATTGGCCTCCGTTTCCAGTGAGCAACCATTAAACCCTATGCAGAGATCCAAGCCTATCAAAGCAGCTGCCGCCTCCTTGGGACCATCCAATGAACGCGCTACTCCACCTCCACACCGATCTCTGTTTCTTTTCATTACACCCAAAAATTCACCATGAGAGTTTCCACAGTGAAGAAACAGTGGTAATTTTGTCTGTTCTAACAGTTCAAACTGTTTTTCAAAATATTTGAGCTGAGCCCTGGCCAGTTTGGCTCAGCGGTTAGAGCGTCGGCCCGTGGTCCAGAGAGACCTGGGTTCGGTTCCTGCTAAGGGCATGTACCTCGGTTGCAGTTTGCCCCCAGCCCTGGTTGGGTTGTGTGGGTGGCAGCCACTCGATGTGTCCCTTTCATGTCAATGTTTCTCTCTCTCTCTCTCTCCCTCCTACTCTATCTGAACAAAAAATGGAAAATGTCCTCAGGTGAGGATAAAATATATATATATATATATATATATATATATATATATATATATATATATATTTGAGCTGAGTATCTTTGGGACAAAACTGTACTCAGTCAAAATCAAGTACACACCTCCCTATTGCTACAACTTTCCCCTTGTGTTCAGCAAGGGTTAGCAGCTCCATCGAGTAAATAGCAGAGTTATTTTTTCCAAATTCATCACATCTTGTAGGATGACATCCAACTGGAATGAAAAACATGTCATTTGTTCATGCTAAATGCAGTGCGTCTTTACTGTCATGTAGATTTCCACCAGTCACCATAACCTTTTTTTAAAAAAATATTTTTAGTGTCTTTCTCACCATCGATGTTTCTCTCTCCCTCTCCCTTACGCTCTGTCTGAAGAATGCAAAAATGTCCTCAGGTGAGGATTAAAAAAATTAATAAATAGAAAGTGTTTTTATTGGCCTGGCCAATGTAGCTCAGTGGATGGAGCAGCCTCCCATGGACTGAGAGGTCCCAGTTTCATTCCCAGTCAGGGCACATGCCTGAGTTTTGGGCTCCCCAGTGGGGGGCATGCAGGAGGCAGCCGATCAATGTTTCTCTCTCACATCTATATTTCCGTCTCTCTCTAAAAATAAATCAATAAAAACATATAAAAAAATAAAAATATTTATATTGATTTTTTTTAGAGAGAGAGAAAGTTACATCAGTTGGCTCCTCCTGCACGCCCCCGTACTGGAGATTCAGCCCAAAACCCGGGCATGTGCCCTGACCAGGTATCAAAACCAGACCTCTCAGTTCATGCGACAACACGCTCTGTCCACTGAGCCACACTGGCCGGGCTGTCATCATAACCTTTTTAATATCAATTTGGACAGCTCTCTGTATTACACTCTGTAAGTCATCTTGAAGCTTCTGAACTGCCCCACCTCAATAAGTTCCTCTGGACATAGATCTGTCAAATTGATACCAATATCCACACACCTGAAGCAACTCATGACTGCGGTACCCGGTTCTCCCTGGCTGAAGTGGATGTCCCTCACTGTGTTTTCATCTGTTTACCTGCCTGTCATCTTCAGGATTTCTATCTCCTAGACCACCGAGGTGCCTGGTACACCTAGTTCTACGTGGAATCTCAGTTTAGTAGTATTATTCCCCATAGTGCCCCAAACTCAATTATAAACCCAGCTCAGTGACTTTGGGAGAGATCCTTAAACCAACTGAACCTCAGTTGGCTCATCTGTACAGTGGGTGCAGTTGGTGGCACCTACTTCGAAGGTTTGTTGAGAAGATTCAATGAGACAATGCTTGCCACAGTGCACGGCACCCGACAGTGCCTAAGGAACATCACCATCCTGGCTTCTTTGTTGGCACTGACTGACGGCAGGGAGAAAAGATGGAGGATGGGGGTGGGAAAAGCAGTGGGGGAGGAGGAGCCGCTCGCCCAGCAGGGGCGGTGGGAGGGGGGGTGAGCCCAGACCGCCCCCAGGCTGGGAGACCGAACATCCGCATCCGGCCGCCAAAGAGCAACTTCCTCTAGAGGGAGCTGATTGGAGCCGGCAGCTGCCGGCTTCTCTATGCTCTCCGAAGCCTCTTGGGTCCCCAGGACCGCACTGGGACGAGCAGAGGCCCTATCCACACACTGGGACTTCACTGACACCCATTCCTGGAAGCCGGCCTGGGCACCTAACCCTGGAGCCGCCCCTTGGGATCACCAGCCTCGGCCCCACTGAGTCATCCCGGGCCTAGGCCAGGGTCCGGGGAGGTAAGCCGAGGGTCCTGCCCATCCTCTCCGATCTCAGCAACCCCAGGCTCAGGGTGGGGCAAGGAAACGGCTCCCAGCCGGGTGGGGAGGGTGAGACTTGTCGGGCGGCTTTGACAACCTCTGCCGAGGGCCTGATCCAGCCAGGGCTCCGGCTGGCTGCCCTTTTTGCCCTGGTTCTGGGTGCCTGAAAATCTGGTGCCAAAGGACTGTCTTTTAGCAGTCTGGGGGACAGGAATGGAGGTCAGAGCCAAGGTCAAGGGCTGGGGGAGAAGTCTAATGGCGCTTCCTGCTGCCCAGGAGCCCTGGCCTGGGTCTGCCGCCCGGCCGGGCATTTCCACCGGGGAACATCCTGCGCTCAGCAAACCCTGTAGGTAGAGTGCAGGGGACTCCCCTTACCAGGAAGTCATGCTTCTTGGACGGGAGCAGGGGTAGGCCCAGGTCGGCAGATGCCTCTGGTCCTGGGGCTCCTCAGCGGTGAGCCCTGGGGTAGTGGGAAAGGGAGCCCAGGCCCTGTTGTCCTGGGGTGCTGGATTTTGGGGACCAGGGGAGAGGCAAGGGCATCTTCCGGAAGGAGCTGAGGATGGGGGTGTGCCAAGGCAAAGGCCTATTTCGAGGGGAGCCCAGGATGGAAGAGGAAGGGTCTGCCTTCTCCCTGCCCAGCTGAGGTGGAGAGCTGAGTGCACAGGTGGGCAGCCCTCTCGAAGAGCCCTTGGGCGCTTTCAGAAATAGGCCAGGCCTCACAGAAAGGGGGCCAGGAAGGGTACACTGTCCCCAGGGAGGAGGGGCAGGGGCGGAGGCGGCTCTGCCTGGCCCAGGGTGGGGTTGTACCCTCCCCGCAGATGGAGGGAGGGGTTCTCCTGCCTGGGTGATGGAGGCAGCTTGGGTGTGGGGGAAAATGAAGGGGTACAAATTGAAAGTGAAACAGCTCACATCCAGGAACTACTCCCAGTGCCTGGGGTTCACAGAGCAGGCCTGGACTGCAGCCCGCCGAGAGAGGAAAGTGGGCCGGGCAGGAGCGCAGGTGTGGGGTGCGGGGTGCCAGCGTGAGGCAGGCTGGGGCCCTGCCGAAGGCCCGGGCTGCAAGGCAGGAATGGGAAGGCACTGGCCAGCCGGACCCAGGGAAAGTTGCCCTGGAAAGGACACCCTCTGAGATCCCCAAACTGGAAAATAAATCTGAAATGAATGTAGAGTATATGAACTGTGGAAATTCAGGTAACCAACCTGACTAGCTATGTTGCCTCGGGCACTAACCTCTGGGAGCCTCATTTTTACTACCTGTAAAATGGGTGTGATGAGGCTTACCTTGCTTAAGGTGCGATTTCAGTGTCCAACACCCCCTGGGGGTGTTCATACATGGCAGAAGTCTACCGTAGGCACTGAGCTGGAAGACAAGTGTGTTCTGACAAGCCAAGGGGAAGTGGGGCCTTAGAGGCTGACTGCGCGGGTCACTGGCTGGAAGGTGGCAGGGCCGCGGTCAGCGTATGCTGGGCAGGTCCATGACCTCCGGGCGTGAGGTGAAACGTGGCTGCCCCTCCGGGAGCCCTGGGTGCTGGGTGCAGTCCTGGGTGTGAAGTTTGACCGCCTTGCTTTCCTTAGCCCTGGGCTCCCTGGAACAGTTGCCCGTGAAATGCAAGTGGCTGGAGCTCGGACTGTGGGGTCTTTCTGGGAGTCGGGGCCACCTCACTCCTCTGTGGCCGTGGGAACCTCTTGTCAGTGGCCCCTGCTTGTCCCCATCTTGCTTTTTCCTACCCAACCCCACAGGCTAACACTGCCCTCCACTGGGACCTGAACAATGGCGTCTGGGCAAGGACCAGGCCCTCCCGGGCAGGACTGTGAAGAGCCTGCCCCGTCCTCCACTTCGGGTAAGGGTCTTTCTACCCAGCCCCATCTGTGACGCCAGGGCCGCCTGTGAGGACAGAGGGAACAGAGTGGGCGGGACCAGGCAGGGCTTGCGGGCAGGCCCTCCTGTCTCAGTTAACTCACCTTGGATAGGGAGAGGGGTCTCCACCCTGCCGTGCCGGTGGCCTGTTGGGCCCGGGGCTGAGCCCGGGGACAGGGCTGGGCCTGGGGGTTGCAGCGCCGCCCAGGGCTGCAGACCTTGGGATGGTAGTAGAAGGAAGAGCGAGGCGGGCCGGCCTATCCCTGCAGCGGGAGAAATAAGGAAGTAGTTGGCTTATCATGGAGCCAGGTCTGCTCACAGGGAAAATGACTGGCAGGCTTCGGGGAGGAAGTAAGATGGCTGCCTTCCCTCTTCCAGGGGACCGGCCGGGAAGCCTGCAGCTCGCGGCCACAGGCTGTTCCCTGACTTTGGGCTCAGCCCAGGTCTGTCCCTGTTTCCCTGTGTGACTGTGACTCCACATTCCCTGAGCCGTGAGGGCCGGGCCATGTGCATAGTAAACACAGGGCCCCAACACCTGGGGCACAGCCCGGCTCGCTGCTCGGTCCAGCTGTGGCCTCTGCAGGTGGCACACCCTCCGGGCCTCAGGTCCCCCATCTGGAAGGTGGGGACCACCTACTTCACAAGGCTGTGTGAGGATTCAATGGAAAGTGCCAGAAGACTAGCCCACACAGAGTAAGCACCGGGGGTTACCAGGCCTGCAGCAGGAGCCTGTGTCCAGGGCCAGACACTGTGGTCTGGAGGCCGAGGAGCCACCCCGAGCTCGGGGCCAGAGGCCCAGCCCTCCTCCCTGACTCCGGCTTTGATCCTCAGAGGAGCAGGTAGCCCGGGACACGGAGGAGGTTTTCCGCAGCTACGTTTTTTACCGCCATCAGCAGGAGCAGGAGGCGGAGGGGGCGGCTGCCCCCGCTGACCCAGAGATGGTCTCCTTGTCCCTAGAACCTGCCAGGTGAGTGGCAGCCCCATGGGGCCCTCTTCAGGGAGGCGGAGGCCACATGGGGTCGCGAGGAGGTGCTGGGGCGGCCGGCGTGGGGTCTTGCCCTTCTTTCTTCGTTGCTCCTTTCTCGCCTCTAACTCCCACGCCCGCGGGGAAGGTGAGCCTGTGGCCTGGCTGCTGTCGGCTCACCGCGGCCTCTCACCGCAGCACCACGGCACAGGTGGGTCGGCAGCTGGCCGTCATCGGGGACGCCATCAACCAGCGCTATGACGATGAGTTCCAGACCATGTTGCAGCGCCTGCAGCCAACCCCCGAGAACGCCTACGAGTATTTCACCAAGATTGCCTCCAGGTAGCCCTGCCTCTGGCTGTGCTGTCGGCACCAAGCTGGGCCTGCCCGTGGGCCGGGAACACGCACTTCTCTGTCAGTGTCAGGAGCCCTGTTTGCTGTCCCCGTGTCTGCTGTTAATTCACGAGTGGCCTTGGCCCGTCTTTGCTTGCTGGGTCCTAGACTCCTTGTCTCGGTGCATGAGCTCAGCACTGAGCACCTGGCCATTTAGATCAGGACTGCAGGGGGCCCGGGGCACTGTGTCCCCAGAGCTGCTCAGCCCAGCCGGGACACAGCCGTCCTTCTGATACAGAAGCACGTTTCACACCAGAGGTGGTAAGGCTGCCGCCTGCTGCCAGGTCCCGGAGCAGGCACTCGGCTGTGGTGGTAAAGAGACCAACTGCCTGGGTCATAGCTCAGCTTTGCCACTTACTGGCTTTGTTAATCTTCCTCGCCCTCTGTCTTCTCGTCCATAAAATGGCGGAGATGTGCCTAGAGCGGTGTCCACACCTTCACGGTGTCAGCCACTGCTGCCATCTCGGGGGAGGTCGACGCGGGGGCAGGACTGGAGCTGGGGGTGAGAGCAGGGGGCAGCAGACTGGAATCAGTGCTCAGCTGCAAGGCCCTGCCCAGCCCTGCAGAGGCCACCCCACTGCTGTGCTTCCAGGATTTGTCCTAATCTCCTCTTCTGTCCCTTTCTCTCTGCTGTCCCTCGGGCTGCCAGGCCAGCAGCAACACCACAGGTAATGTCCCCGCTGCCCCTGTCTGCCCCTCTGCCCTGTGCTCCTCGCGCCCGCAGCACTGGGGCCCGCAGCGGCAGCCGCCCCTTCCTGTACCTTCTGAGCTTTCTCCTTTCAGAGACGCAGGTTCTTCCCCAGCAGCGGCCAGGTGGGGCAGCCTCTGCCACCTTGACTCACAGCTGGGGCAGGGGTGGGGGGCCAAGGGGGTGGGAGAGGGAAAGCAGGCCTCCCTGGGGGCTTCCACTGACCACCTCCATGTTCTGCCCGCAGCCTGTTTGAGAGCGGCATCAACTGGGGCCGGGTGGTGGCTCTCCTGGGCTTTGGCTACCGCCTGGCCCTGTACGTCTACCAGCGCGGCCTGACCGGCTTCCTGGGCCAGGTGACCCACTTTGTGGTCGACTTCGTGCTGAATCACTGCATTGCCCGGTGGATTGCGCAGAGGGGCGGCTGGGTGAGTGCCCGCACTGGCGGCCTCCCCCATGCCGCTGGGGCTGCCCCTCCCCCAGCCCCACCCCCGTCCCTCCATGTCTGTATGTACTGCAGCCCCTCTGACCACTCGGTCTCTCCTGGCAGGTGGCAGCCCTGGACCTGGGCAACGGCCCCATCCGGAATGTGCTGATAGTTCTGGCTGTGGTTCTGTTGGGCCAGTTTGTTGTACGAAGATTCTTCAAGTCATGACCCCAGGAGGGGCCCTTTGGGGTCCCTGCTGAGATAAGCCTTCTTCCCTTACCCCTTCCCCTACAGGGGTCCCTCCTCAAGAGTACAGAAGCTTTAGCAAGTGGGCACTCCAGCTCCGAAGGGCCCCTGCTTGGGGGTCATTCAGGCTGCAGGGGCCTCCCAACATTGCATGGTGCTAATGGGCTCCACTCTGGGCTCAGCTCTGTCTGCTGGGCTCTGAGGAGGTTGATAACTTAGGGAAGGAAGAAGCTGGGAGAGACTTTTCCCTAAGAAGATTTTCATGGTTTTAGCTTTTTATAATACCCTTAGGAGGTAACCGCCCCCCTCATTCCCAACACTCTGCCCCAAGCCAGGACATCTGGGGTATGGGGGTTAGGCCTACCCTGTGTTCCCCAGGATTTAGCTGTTCTGAAAGGTCAGAGTTTGAGAGCTGGGCCTGGAGCCCAGTTCTGGCCATTCTAAAACATCATGTCCCCCAGGAACAGGACTGGCTGGGGTTGGAGGCAAGGATCTACTCAACTATTCCCCCCAACCCCATATTGCCTTGGCAGGTGGACTCTCAGGGATTTGGGGTGTAGGGTGAGGGTATGTACCGGAGCCATCTGAATTTATCCATCAGGTCCCTGCAAACCTGTCTCCTGGGGTCCTCTGTTCTTTCCCTTCCCCACAACTTGCTCCTTAGGCCTTCATTACTTGTGGGGGCTGCCTTCCCCGTCACTCCAGGTACAGGGCAGAGGCCTTGGGAGAGGGAGTGCTGAGGACCCCTCCTTGCTCAGACTATAAGGTTTAGGACTGTGATTTGTTACTGTCAGGGAAAGGGAGTAGGGAGCTCATCTTGAGGTTTCTGAGAGAAGGCCTATTAACATCACTAGGTACCCCAAGGTTGGGATCCTCCCCCAGTCTCATCTGGGGTTGTGGAGGGGGAACTATGAATACTTGAACTCTACCCCCAAACCTCCACCCTCTACACTCATCTGCCTAAGCCCCTCCTGTGGGTGGGGGGGGGATGCCTTGTCTGTCTTGCACAACCTAGGGATCTGAGAAGTTGTTGATTAAGCCAAATGCAGGGAGGGGATGCAGATGGAGCCCACTGGCCACCCCCACCGTCTGAGAGTGTCTGAAAATAAACTGCCATCCCCCCATCCCACTAGTAATGTTCGTGTCCTTTGCTAACTCTCCATCAGGATGGATTGGGGGAACCTGGGCATTTTCCTGGTTTATTATGAATAAGGTCTCATCTTGAGCTTCCAGAATCCTATAGAGGGTGGGTTGTGGTTCTCCAGCCCCCTAGAACGCCTTGGCCCCTCCCCACCTCTTAAGCCCCCTTTTGAGGCACTTCCCTCATCTCTGAGTTCTAGGCAAGTTTTCTACCCCCTGTAAAGTTGGCAGACCCCAGACCACGGGGCTCCGGCTGCAGAGCTGGTAGAGCGGCTGCTCACGTCTGGGGAGCCCCACAGGCCACCTCAGGCCTGGACTGAATTCCTCTCCCTAGGGCCACCACCCACGCTTGGCTCCTGTCTGGGACACAGTGTCCCAGCTCCCGCTTCCGCATGCTCCCCGACACTAACACACACAGCTTTTCATTCTAGCAGTTTTGTGTGGCATGGGAGTCCCTTCGGGGAGGTAGCCAGGGGTGATAAAAATAACAAGCATGGGGGTGTTTAAAGGTTCCACAATCGGCAGGCAGTCTTACCAGCCCTGAGCATCCTAGTCTGCTTCTGACACCCTTCCAAACGGTCACGTGCACGTCCTAAAGGACTTGTGTGCCTCACTTTCACTCGGAAGGAGTCTTGCCAAGCCCCTGCTCCTCCAACTTGGACTTCGGAGCATCCTCGCACAGACGCGGTCATGGAGAGTCCCCACCCCGTCCCGCGTGCCGCCAGCAGTGGTGGCTACAGGCACCCCGCAATCTGCGGGAAAAGCTCACAGACATCTACGAAACACTATGTCCGAGGCTTCATGCTGAAGATTTATCATCTATGCCGGCAGGTGTAGTTGTGACCTAGGGGAAAGGGGCTCGAACTCCCACTTTACATAAGAAAACAGGTGCCTGCTCAGTCACCACCAGGTAGGAAAGGGCTGGGAATCAGCACCTGCCGCCACGATACTGGTTCGAGGTTTTCCATGGAAGCCAGAGGGCTGGCAGCTGCAGCTGCTGGTGCCTGAGCACAGGCCCGCCTAGGGGTTAGGTGGGGAGGGGTGTCCGGTCTTTCTGCCCTGCATACAGGCCTGCAACCTCTGAAGACCTGGGGAGATGGGCAGGCTGCCCGCGTCCAAGATGGCTGGGGTAGCACCCAGCACGCAAGCCTGCCCTCTTGTGGGCGGGGCCTCCAGGCGCACCTCCCCCTCCCTCCTGGAGGAAGGGAGAGAGAGACCCACGATGTGAGAGAGAAACATTGATGGGCTGCCTACTGGGGATGGAGCCCGAAACCCAGGCATGTACCCTGACCGGGAATCCAACCAGGACCTCTCAGTCCATGGGACGACTCTCAATCCACTGAGCCACACTGGTCAGCTCCCCCTGGGTTTTAAGGGCGAGGGCGTTCCTGGAGGAGCGGGTGCTTCTGTGGCTGTGAGAAAGACAGGTGGGCAGTGGCAGGAGCTGTGGCCGCTCTACCCCTGTGAGGAAGGAGTTGGAACGCTGTCCTAAAAGGCACCGGGAGCCCCTAAAGGTCTGGGCCTGTGTCCAGCCTGCTCCTGCTCCTTCTAGTCTGCAAGGAGGAAGTTTCCAAAACCCAGGTCTGGAGATACTGAAACTTGGGTCCAAGAAGTTGAGAAGGAAAGAATAAGGCAGAGGCCCGGCTGGTGTGGCTCAGTGGTTGAGCTTTGACCCATGCACCAAGAGGTCGCCAGTTCGATTCCCAGTCAGGGCACATGCCCAGGTTGTGGGCCCAATCCCCAGTGGGGGGCATGCAGGAGGCAGCCAATCAGTGTTCTCTCATCGATATTTCTATCTCTCTCTCCCTCTCCCTTCCTCTCTTTCTAAAATCAATAAAAAAATCCCCCCCAAAAAGAATAAGGCAGGGGCTGTGGGGGTACAGGGGAACAGATGGGTTCTGCAGGTATTAAGGAAGGTAAATGCTCAAAATGTCCTTAAGTGTTGTGGTTCTTCTGAAATTATAGCATCATTTTTACCAAAGAGGTCTAGGTTCCTCAGTCTGGTGCCACTGCACTGGGACAGGCCAGCCATGGGACAGGAGCATGTTCAGGTGGCGGCTGCTCAGTGGTGCAGTGGGTGTGGGACGTGCCCTGCCCTGTACCCACCACCCCGCCCCCGCCCCACACTACCGGCTTGTGTTTGCCGTTGACCTCCTCTGCAGAGTGCATTTTAGATCACTGGGTGTCCAACCAAAGCTTCTAACTCCAGAAAATTCTATTTTGCCAAAACCACTCAGTAAATTGTTTGAACAAGTTTTTATTAGGCAATAAAAACCGAATAGCATTGACAAATTAAAGTTAACTTATTAGGTAATTAAAATGATGAAACCACATATCATACTCCAGTTGTCCACTCTTCAGATGTAAAGGTCCCTGATCAAAGACACTGTAAAATATGGGTTCAATCTAGGCAGGACAGATGTTCATAATCTCGTGTGTGTGTTGGGGGTGGGGTGGGGTGGAGAAACAGAGACAGAGACTGGAGCTACCAGAGATTGCTGGAGGTCAGCGACCAGAAAATCAGCAAAACCCAGCTTCTGGAGCATGTTCACCATGCTGGGCATGATAAAAAGGCAAACATCACACTACTGGGATGTAAAAACTGATGAGGGGGCTTCAGCCTGCCAGATAATAAGAGGACAAAAAGTGAACTGGCCCACTGAGCATACAGCTGGAAGCAGGTGACCAGCAAATCACATGAATGATCCTGTAGAGGGGCAACCTCACAGGACCAAGATTGGGTGAACGACCAACGAGAGCAGACTGCACTTTTCTGAAAAAGTCCCTTAATAACCGAAGGGACTAAAGTCACAGAAGACTCCTTCACCTGGAGTGTGGGATATGGCAATGGATTTGGGTGGGCACCAAATGGATGCCTGTGAGGGTTGTGTGAGCATCTGGAGATTAACATTGAGGGGGCATTGATTGTTGAGATCAACATAAAGATCAGTATACCTCTCAGCCCCACTCACCTCAATTCTTCCTTTGCAATCTGGGAATCATGCCTGGTCCCCAGTGCTTCAACTCCTGCAGCACGGGCTAAGAACATAGCAGGAAGTCAGCTCTTCAAAAGGTCCGCTCACTGCGTTGGGCAGTGTGCCTGTTCTGCAGGGTCATGGAGTCTGGGTTCACCAACCTCACGCATTGACCTGACCCCTCTCTGACCTGACCTCTGACCCTACTGAAATGAACTCCTATTCATAATCAGCAGATGATTAGGCTGACAAGAGTGGTAATGTTTTCTTGCTAAAGGAGGACCACACCAGGGAAAGGCAGGGGGCATGTGGCTTGTCCAGCATCTCTGGACTGTGGATGTGAGTCAGAGCGCAAGAGAGGTCCTGGGCTAGACTTGGGGATGTGATTGCCGTGTCTGCTGAAAAAGAATGAGGTTTCCAGGAGCCTGAGTAGCACGAGTCTGCCCTCACTGGTCCTTCACCTGATCTTGGTCCTGTGAGGTTGCCCCTCTATGGGATCATTCATGCGATTTGCTGGTCACCTGAGTAACTGCTACCAGGTTGTGTGTGAGAAGGGATGTGTGCAGGCTGGGAGCCAGCTGCTGTTCTGGAGAGGGGGTGAGAAAACACCCCTGGATGTGACATGTAATGTCATGGACAAGTCACATGACCTGGGACTCATTCTGGGTGGTCTGAACATGGGCTAGCTAGGAGTCACCCCCCTTCCTTCTCTGCAAGAGAGGAGCCATGCCGGAACTCAGTTCACCATGAGACCGGGGGCTATTCCAAGTACTCTGTGCCTCCCTCCCTGGCCAGCTGGGGACACTAATATTCACAGGCCTGAAGTGTCTGGGGCTGACATCCTCAGACAACTTCCGCAATGCCCCCCCATCCAGACTGTGGTGCCAGGGCCTGGTGCTCCTTCTTTCTCGTGCCAGCTCCATACAAAAGGCGGAGTGGTGGCAGGAAGGCCCTCCTGCTGGAGTGCAGGCTGTAGAGCGGGCACAGCCCCCTGCCCGGGCTCTGCGCCCTCGAGATGAGAGGAGGGCCAGGCGCCCTCTTATTGACCTCTTGTTTTTTGTTTTTTTTGTTCATCCTCACCTGAGGATATTTTTTCACTTTTATCTTCAGATAGAGAGAGAGAGAGAGCCCTGGCCGGTTTGGCTCAGCGGTTAGAGCGTCAGCCTGCGGTACAGAGAGAGAGAGAGAGAGAAACATTGATATGAGTGAGACACATCGATTGGTTGCCACCCGCACACCCCAACTGGGACCGGAGACAAACCACAACCGAGGTAACGTGCCCTTGGCCGGAATCGAACCAGGACTCTTTGGTCCACAGGCCGATGCTCTAACCGCTGAGCCAAACCGGCCAGGGCCTGGCCTCTTGTTTTCTCTTTCCCGGTAAAGCTGTGAAGGAAAAGCCGAGCCTGTTTTCTGTGCTCACACCACTACTGTCACTTCTGACACTTCTGGCCACCAGATGTGTAGGAACTAAAAGGGTCAGTAACGTTTTATTTTTTATTTACTTTTTTATTTTTTTTAGGGAGAGAACGAGGAAGAGAGAGAGAGAAACATCGACGTGAAAGGGACACATTGAGTGGCTGCCACACGCACGACCGACCAGGGCCGGGGACAAACTGCAACCGAGGTACATGCTCTTAGTGGGAACCGAACCCGGGACTCTCTGGACCACAGTCCGATGCTCTAACCTCTGAGCCAAACTGGCCAGGGCAGGGTCAGTAACGTTTTAAAGGGTAAAGGTAAAAGTTTGCAAAAGTTGGACACTGTGGAAATTGTGTTGCTTGCATGACCTTGGTTCAACCTTTTGTTGAGTACGAATAAAGTTTATCTGGATTGTCTGCAAGGCAATGGATAACCCAGCAGATGCCTGAGGAGATACTGGACCAGCCCTACTGCAAAGTGGACAATGGGCCAGACAAAGTACATCAGAAGAACTGCCAGAAGCTAAAAGGAGGGTATATAACCAACACCCCAACCCTGATTAGAGGCTGAACCCTTCTCAACTCCGCCCACCTG